CAATATCTATGGAAACTCAAAGTTGTACATATAAATAAATCAATACAAGGTTGTAATACATGTTATGCTTGATTTCTGCTATTTCAGATTGTTTGTTCGTGTACATTTAAAATTTCTATTCAGAAATTTCTGAAGAAAAATCAAATGCTTTTTTAAATACAGTTATACTGTTTTGGTTTAAAATCCCAATTCTAAACCACACACCAGCTTTAAATGTTAATAACCGAATTAAACCAGAGTTTTACCTAAAATAATTCAATCTCAGACCATCAGAAAGATTGTGATCTTGACCACTGTCTTGATACAGGAACCTTTAATAAATAGTTGTCATACTTGTTCGCCCCTTTATTATGGTATGTGTGATGTGAACACCCCTCCCAGGGTGGAGGTCTGCACTCTGACTGCTTTCTAGTTTTTATTAGTTTGTTATCTATCTTTAGTGAGTGTTCAATTTTAATACTGTACCATGTTTTGCTTGCAATTTGTGACAATTCATGGTGTGTTTATAGACCATTAACTGCAGTTTATCAAAATAGAGGGCCCCAGAACATTACCTAGCATAGGGCCCCCACAATGCTAGAAACGGCCCTGGTGTCAGATTGGTGGCAGATATTAGCATGCTAAATGCTAAACTAAGCTAGTAAATCTCATGGTGTGAAGTGATTATATAAATGAGAAACAATGATGGAGCTAATTATTGTCCTCAAATCTGAATGTTTACAGATTAATGGAGGTCCAATAGGGCTGGGCAATAAATCGAAAATGTATCGTTATCGAAATTTCTGACTCATCTGCAGATGATTTTTCCCATGTCAATAAATGTGATAATAAAAAAATGAAAAGATGTATGTAGGTTGGCAACGTTTATGTCACTTTAAAGAGCAAGTCACCCCCAAATAAACAATTTTTTGCTGATAAACTAAATAAATGAGTGTCTAATCGTGCTGCAGACACGTGTCGTCAATAATTTGGCACTTCAGTGCATTTTAGTTAAAATTTAAATATTCTGCCTAAAACTGGCAGTGTTGTGCCGTTGTCAGGTAAAAACTCTGCACTGTATTTTAATTTAAATCTGCCACCGCTATTGGCTAAGAGGTATGCTATGATGTAATCTGGTACATTATGATGTCACAATGCTGTCGTGAGCCTGTGTGTGTGTGTATATGTGTTAGAAGCTCCGCCCTCTCGGTCTGCCAGGCAACAGCATTTGTTGCATTTTTCAAACATGAAGTGGGAGTGGAGTTAGACTCTGGTAGGGGGTGACTTGCTCTTTAAGAAGCTGAACTACCTTGAGTCACGTAAAAATGTGACTCAAGGTAATACATGTGACAGCCCCATCTAGTGGACAATGTTTGTTTCTGCGCATACCTGTAGTTATCGTCCACTTATCGTTATCGAGGTGAAATCCTCAATATATCGTGATATTGATTTTAGGCCATATCGCCCAGCAGGGGTGGACTGGGACCAAAATTTGGCCCTGGCATTTTTACGAATCGTCGGCCCTCCCAATTGGGAGAGCGGTGGGGGTGGGGTTGTTGCCGCCCGCGGACTCGTCTCTAGGCCAAATGTGAAATCTAGTATGGACTGGGACTGATAAATTACAAGCAGGGGCAGACCGCTGCGACCGGGAGCCCTGACCTTCAAGAACAGCTCATTCTCCTCTGGCGGAGATCAGCGGGACATTAGCTACATGCTAACGCGGTAAAACAACTCCTACGTCATCGCTCTACCGCGTTTTTCTCGCTAAAAACGCCTGGAAAAACTGTTAGCTTCGGGTTGCCACGTAGCTAATGTTCTACAGCTCACCAGCTGTGAAGTAGTGTCGGCCCAAGCTGGGCAAGCAGCCCACTTGGCTAAGCGGCCCACCGGGACAGTGCCAGAATGCCAGATAGGCCAGTCCACACCTGTCGCCCAGCCCTAAGGTCCAGCATAGCAACAAATAGAAACCTGACAGTAACTCACAGTATTTAATTTAGAAAGTTCAAATAGAATCAAGACGGAAGGGACACAAATACCAAGAAGAGAGAATGAAATGAAACAAAGTGGAAAAGTGAAAAATGACTGAAAGAATTAGAAAGAGAGGTCTGGTGGGAAGAGTTTAGGGCCCAAAAATCCATTTTCCCGCTTTGAGAAGTACTCTGCTGACATTAAGGCGGCGAGCTGGAATTGATCCCAACAGATTTAAAGAATAGACTTTTCTCAGCCGACCAGAGTTCACATCTCACACACAGATAGTCTCACCCATTTTAGTCAATTAAACCTGCTTTTGTGCCAAACCCTTCCTGCACCCAACCCCGCTGCTGAACACCTTCACACACTAAAACCTAGCTCACAGGCACCTGAAGGCATTAACATACACTCACACACACATGCACGCACATTAAGAGACCCCGAAGACCTGTATACACATATACACACAGCTGGGAACACGCACACACACCAGAACCCCCAGATTGAACCAAAGAATGAGCCTATAATCTAAAGGCTTCTGCTCCACCTTATCATGTGACTGAGCTTGTTTCCTCTAAAGCTCAGTGCATCGATCGGTGCTGATGCTGCTGCCAGCGGCACTGGGAAGAGGCTGGGTATCAATTTGTGTGTGTGTGTGTGGTTGGGGGGTTGGGTTTGCAGGATAACAGCCAACCAAATCAAACAGGCTTACTGGTCGAGGCCTGGCACGAAGAAAAAAAAATCGATGTGCCCAGCAATCCATTAACTGAGGTGGCCCCTTAGAGTGCAGATCAAGCTGCACAGCTGTGTGTGTGAGTGTGTGTGTGTGTGTGTAGGTGGGTAGGATACAGGGTAGATGGTGTATTTATTTTTGAACGAACACAAACACAAAGGAAAAAAAAATCTTTCATTTTCATATATTTAGCTCACATGGAAAGACTTCTGTCAGCCAGACCTGGACCAAAGATCTAATGATACGTTCACACAAGTTGAGTACGGGGGTGGGGGTGTGTGGGGGTATGCATCCTTCAATTATAGAAAGATGAGAACATTTATCCATGTGGATGAAACAGTTGCTGTGATTTTGTTAGTAGAAAACACAAAATAACAGTTACTTTAAAAAAAACTATCAAAAATAGGGATGGAAAATATATTGGAATCAATATCGGTATCGGCCGATGTTAGTCATTTTTTTAACATATCGGTATCGGTTCGATAAATAAAACTGGGCAGATATTAACAACCAATATTTTTTCCGTATCGTCTCCATTTGTTTGCCTGTTTCAGAGGGTGGGGGTGGGAGATGTGTGATTGTATAGTCATGTGACAGTGATTGTAATCATCTCAGAACCGTAAATGTGAGTGTTGCGTGTACATAATAACGTAAATTCAGCTTTAATCATTCTATACAAAATCTGCTGATTTTAGAAGCATTAATGTCAGTATTGGCAAATATTGGTTATCGGCCATAACAGTGATCTTAATATTGGATATCGGTATCGGCCCAAAAATTTCACATCGGTGCATCGCTAATCAAAAATAAAAATGAAAGTTAAGTAGACTAAACTCCTATAATCAGTATCACATGTGTGTCAGGTCTGACAATCAGGGATTCTGGCTGTTAAAGGGCTGTAAGGTAGTCACAGGGCTGTTTTGGATCAGGGTGTGTACCGCCCTGATCATGGACCAAAAAAAGCTGAGGACACCTCAGGAGATTAGAGAGACTATTAATGACCACCATGTTAACATGAAAGGTTAAAAGATCTTCTCCAAGGAGCTAAAGACTAGAATACAGTCAGGTCCATAAATATTGGGACATCGACACAATGCTAACATTTTTGCCTCTATACACCACCACAATGAAATGAACAAGATGTGCTTTAACTGCAGACTGTCAGCTTTTATTTGAGGGTATTTACATCCAAATCAGATGAACATTGTAGGAATTACAACAGTTTGCATATGTGCCTAACCCTAACCCATTTAAGCTATAATTTCCAGCTATTGCCTGGAACCGGTGCTAGCCACGTCACGAACGTGGGATTAACCATCCAGTTACCATTAAACTTCCCCATGGCGCAAGCTCCCACTAGCTTAACAAGCTAATGTGCTCATCTAAAAATAGCCCCCTTTTACAACCAACTGAAAGTGTACGGTTCCGCTTACGCCAAAATCATTCGCAAAAAAAGCTGAACACTAACTAGAAATTCACGAAAATTTCATAGAAATGAAAGAATTTTGTTTATTGGGTCTTTGGTGATTTAAGACCTTTGGAAACTGTATTTAAGGATTTTTTGTAATTTTTAAGGATTAAGGCCTTAAATTTGGAAAGGCTAATTTAAGACTTTTTAAGGACCCGTGGATACCTTGTGGAGAGAGTATTGTCAATTACATTTGTTGGGTCCGCCCATAAATTATTTTCTGGCTACGCCACTGCTGTAGAGATTCTGCGTTTGTGAAACTAAAACCTTTTCTGTATCTGAGTTTTGGGAACTGATTTAAAATTGTCAGTAGGGATCTTCATCGGTGAGCTCAACAACTCATCTGTATTCGCCAGCTGTACTGTGAAATCTCTCACAATATAACAAAAGAATCAGATTCCAGGGGAGACGCAAACTTGATGAAGTTCAGGGTGAAATTACATCCAGAATGGTTGTGTTGACGGAAGCTGTCCTAAACTCCTAACTGAGCCCAGCGACTACAAAGAAAACAAGATGGAGGAGTTCTAGGACCCAGATGTTTTCACCGAATAACATCGTTCTATCTGGATGGGTTTGTCTATATTTGATGCTCATTTTATGTTTCAACACACTTCATAATTGACCAAGTTTTGTATTTTTTCCAGGTTATTGTTTTTATAAAATGCCATAAATAAAATGGTCGTAAAAATCTTTCAGAGGAAAGTGAGGCTTGTGAGAAATAGAACGCTGTATCAGCAGAATTGGAAGATTATCAGAACTGGAATGCTACATCAACACCTATACCAACGTCAATCATTTTGCCGTTTGTGCGTTAGAAACCGTTATCAGACTGATGTTCATGAGTCTGACCTGTTTGAGGGACAGCTGGGCGAGCCAAGTGTTCTCTAGCATCTCCTTCCTCTGGGACGGTGGAGCGTCACGGACCTTCAGGAATAGTTCATGGGCATGGAGGCCGCAGTGCTGGCAGACGCCTTGCTCCGCCTCCAGAACTCGAGAGCGCATGTACGTCTGGCTTGAAAGCAACTGGAACTCCTCCTGGCACCTTAGAAAAAAAAGCCCATGAGAACATTTCTGCTCTGTCAGATCCCCCTAAACGGAATCTGCAGTGGATATGAAATACCTTTGACAGCAGAATCTAGTATCCCAAGCCCCCCCTGAGGTGGGACAGGCCTCCTGACAGGACAGACATAGAGGGACACCATGACTGTCCACAGCCTGTAGGTAGCTGGACTCTGAAGATGGCTGCTCTTCCTCTGCCTTACAGGGCTGCTTGTCCTGCCTGATGAGTTCAAGACAGAGAAAAATCCTTTTCACACAATCAGCCTGACCTCAGATGAACGTCTATAGTTCATTCCGACATGCTGTCAGCCAACATCTGGTCGTCTTCTTCATCATTAGAGTTCATCAGAATCTGTAGGTTTTTATTTGTCCACCGGACTCTTGATGATTGAACATAAATTCTGCAGAGGGACTACCAATGGAAATGAGCCTTTTGGCTAAAATTGGGTACATTTATATTTTCCTTGTAAAATGTTCTTAAATGTTCATTAATGTAAACTGTCCCTTTAAAACAGGGATAGCCAATCCTGGTCATGGAGGTCCACTATCGAGCAGGTTTTAGTTGTTGAACCACAATGAAGCAGGTAGTGAAACATAGGGGGAAACTATAGAACCGTGCTGTTGGAGAAGGCTGTAAAACTGAACCGTACCCACAGGAGTCACGCTGAGTAGTGCTGTTGAGAAACCCAATCTGTGAAACTGACCTTTTGTCGTTTTGTTTGAACTAAGTTCTGACTTAAGCCTTTTGGCTTGATGCTCCACCTTGCTAGATAATCGTTGTCCATCACCAAACTGTAGTTGGACGGTTGGAGGTGTTCCTCTGGGAGGATGTCTAGTTACCATTATTTATTCATGCCAGTTGTCCGAGGCTAACCCCGCTTTCACACTGGAAGCATCAGCGGTACAAAACGGCAGCAGAATGGTTTACTCGTGAACTTAAAAGCAGCCCCTTTCACACCGGGAGAGTCTTGGCATCGGCACTGCTTCCTCGCTGGACTCTCGAGATCACACGATCCCTCCAGACTTCAGATCACTCTTTGTTTATGCAATCCACCACTAAACCAAAAAGAAGGAAACCACGTTTGATATCGCTGATTGATGTCATATATGATGATGTTCCTCTACTGCCAGGATTAAAGCCATGAAAAAACACTGCTGCACTTCTGGAACAATGCTGTGAGTAAATAAGCCATTGAGTCAAACGTAAGCTTCATATATTTGAAACTGCATCGCTGCAGTACTTTTATTTTGAAAATTACCAGGTATTTACACCAAAACTGTGTGTAATTTCCCATCTAGCCCTGTGATAACTGCGGAAATTGACGCATCCCAGAAGCGACACGCGGCACAAATAGAACCTGATCCTATCTTTAGTGGCGCCGTGTTGCTTCTGGGACGCGCCTGGAAATTGCTGCGTTGCTGCTGGTTTGAAACAGTCCATAGACTATAATGGATTCTATTTGAGGCAGTGACGTTCCACGCCGCTGACGCTTTAAAGACCAAAGGTGACTGAAATCAGTCTGAGCCTGAGATCAGTGGACTCAGTGGTCTCCTTCAAAAATAGCGCGACTCAGTTGCGAATGACCACAGTCACCAATTCTTGTCATGTGTCTTGCCCATGTATGTCTGATCTCTGAATTCTTGTACTGAAACTCTAATTTCCCTTCCCTGGGACAAATAAAGCTTTTCATTCATTCATTTCACTCAAAAGCAGCTGAAAACTCACTTGTTCAGGCTGGTTTTTGCCTGACCTTCATCACCAGCCTCTACTTATACCGCCTTTACCCGCGATCCACTTATTTCCCATTCATTTTCTCTCTTCCTTTCCTTACATTTTTACATTTTTTATATTTTTCTCTCATTTTAAACATATTTTATTAACTTTGTATACTTACATTTCTTTTTTTTTTGTGAAGCGTCGCGTGATTTTTATCTTGAGAGGCGCTAAATAAAAGATCGTTTTTCTTTTCAGATGATCCTTTATCCACATGCTTCAAACAATAAGAAAGCGGATTCATCTAAAGAAACAACCAATCCTCTTAAGTCCAATCCCTGGAGCTGTTTTTTTTTATTAGGAGAAGTGGCTTCTTTGCCGCCCTTCTTGACATCTGACCATCTTCCAAAAGTCTTCATGTCACCTTTAATGCGTTGCCACTAGCCTGCAGCCTTTCCTGCAGCTAGATCAACTTTAGGAGATGTTTCTGGTCCTAGCTGGACTTTCAAAACCTTTGACCACATTCATTTATTATTTGTTTGTGCAAACTGTCTCATCAGCATGTAACCTGCATTAAGTGAATTTCTGCAGCATCAGTAGAACCGCACACACAGTTGGAGTGTGCTAGAAAACATATTCAGCCTGAAATACCTCCAGACTCTGCTCTTATTCATGATGTTGATGTATCTTCCGAGTTTTCCTGGTATGTGCGTGTGCACGCGTGTCCTTTTTGGCAGAGGACGGCAAAATCTGGGTACCTGCCATGTTTTCGCAGCAGGGTGCTGGAGCCACGTTGGAGGGGACAGATGGAGCAAATTCTCCTTCTCCGTGGTTTCCAATTCAGAAAGGCAGCGAGGAACAAAGAGACCGAGCGCTACAGACGGAAATGTGATCATTGAAATAGAGAAGAAAACCTAAAAAATAAATAGAACTTTAAAAAGGGACGTTTGCCGCTTCAAAGTTCAGAAGATACTAAAAATCGGGAGGTAGTGAGAAACTGATTCAGAGCCAGCACAGCCAAGTGGATGAAAGCAAAGACACAAATAGACTGATTACTGGTGTGCCCAATCGGATAATATTTATTTATTTAAAGCGCTTGGGAAAAAACTTCACTCAGAAATAGTTTTCTGGGAACGGTGAATTTGAAAAGCATGTAGCGGAACACCTACAAAGGCACCGGGATAATTAAAGAATGGCCGTGGGTGTGATTAAAGACAAACGAACAAATACGTGGTGTATTTTTGGATATGTTTAGATTCAAGCACAGAGCAAACGAGAACGTTTGGCGGCTCCAGTCGGCAACACGAAGCGGAAAACTCCAGCTTGAAACCCCAGAAATCCCACAACATGTCTGCAGCAAATGGCACGCAGCATGCTAATGTTTACCGCCTCAGCGCCGCTCGGCTCCGACGCCTCCACCAAAGGAAGGACAGAGATGTGACGCCGGCATGTCCAGCTGTCAGAAGAGCTGCTTCTCACTCTAAAATGTTTTATTTAATACCATTTAATTAATTTGTATAACAGTTATAATATATAAACATAATGACTGCCACAACAGTTGTGGGATTTCTTTCCTCAAATGAAAGATTACCAACAATTGCATCCATCCACATCTGTAACATCTGTATTAGTTAATTTACTCCACAATCTAAAATGGTGCAAAGTTTATGTTTCCGAACCCAAGCAGACGTTCTGCTGGTTGAAGTAATAACCAGCTCTGGGATGCGGCAGGTACAACAGGATGGATGCAGATCCTGCTCCAGACGGTGGTTCAATGCTAGCGCAGGCAGAAGCCGGCTGTCAAAAACAGGAACAGAATAACTTCCTGTAGCCATTAACAAGACGAGCCTCAAACTTCCAGGGCTGGGAGTAAAGAAGCAGCTATTTTACCTTTGCACTATAGTTTCTGGTCCAAAAACGCATCTATGACCTGCTGATGTTTGTGCCAAAACACTGAATCACCACAAGTTTACCGGCGGTTTACAATAAAACAGACTTTTTCATCAGGATGTTAAAGAAAATATATTACGACCATTCGAAGTTCTGATCAGTAATGGCACTTTTTTAAACCAAAATTCAGCTAGCATAATTTTCAGTCTATACAAAATCTGCTGATTTCAGAAGCATAAATGTCAGTGTGTGTGTGTGTGTGTATATATATATTTGTGTGTGTGTGTATCTGCAAATGTCAGTTATCAGCCACAACAGCAACGCTAATAACAGATATCAGTATCGCCCCAAGATTTCATATTGGAGCATCCCTATTGTGGACACAAGCAACTGTAATGAGTTTTCTCCACCGGGTGGCTGAGCTCTCCCTTAGAGATGTTTATGTTTATGTTTATGTATTTAGCAGACACTTTTGTCCAAAGCGACTTACAAGTGATAATCGGCATGTCGCCCTTGAGGCTAACAACAACAATAACAACAACTTGACATCAATCTTGGAGAGGAGGGAACAAAGGAGTGGTCGGTAGAGAGGGGGATGGGTGCAGGTAGGGTGCTAGTTAAGAAGATGCTCTCTGAAGAGCAGGGTCTTCAGGAGATTCTTGAAAATTAAAAAGGAAGCCGCAGTTCTGGTAGTGCTTGGAAGGTCATTCCACATTTGTGGAACGATGCATGAGAAGAGTCTGGATTGTCCTGAGCATGGTGTAGGCACTGCTAGCCGACGATCCTGTGATGACCGGAGCGGCCGGGCCGAGACGTAAGCCTTTGCAAGAGGATTCAGGAAGATGGGAGCCGTACCATCTCGGACTTTGTATGCTAGTGTTAGCAATTTGAATTTGATGCGTGCTGCTAGCAGTAGCCAGTGGAGCTCAATGAACAGAGGGGTGACGTGTGCTGTTTTTGGCTGATTGAAGACCAGACGTGCTGCTGCGTTTTGGACCATTTGAAAAGGTCTCTCAGTACAGCCTGGAAGACCAGTTAGAAGGGCATTGCAGTAATCGAGGCGGGAGATGACAGTAGATTGCACCAGGAGCTGGGTGGCATGATGTGTTAGGTATGGTCTGATCTTTCGTATGTTATACAGCGCAAAGCGGCATGAACGAGCAACAGAGGCAACATGATCTTTAAAGGTCAGGTGTTCATCAATCACAACACCCAGATTTCGAACTGCCTTTGAAGGAGTCAGAGATAGGAAGTCATAGCCAGAGATAGGGTGAGAAGCTCGGTCATCTGGGAGGGGCTCGGAGTAGATTCGCTGCTCCTCTACATCGAGAGGAGCCAGTTGAGGTGCCTCAAGGTTGGTTTATGCTTGACGCGTCCGCGAGGTTCGCACGGCTCTGCGCGGAAAAGATGCATCATTTTAACAACCACGCCCCTCCACACGGCCAAAACTTTCCACAACGCGCACCTAGGAAATTTTCTAACCACGCGAACGGTCGGACGCGGAAAAACATAGCGGACTGGCAAGAACTAGTACGGCAGAGGTTCGTAAATACAGACATTTGTATGATTCAGCTCTCAGAGATCACCGTGATCAACATGTTGTTAATAATTCTTGGAGAGAAATAGCTCGCACTGTCGGAAAAGACGAGCACGCTGTTAAAAAAATGCTGGAATGCCATGTTGTAAACAACAGTAATTTCTACTTCTACTATGGTGTAGTGTTGGATGCATGCCGTAGAGCTCCATGCTGCCCCCTACAGTTTGGGAGAATATTGGCTCACCGCAGAGACGAGCCGCGTTCCATCCGCCAGCCGCATCACCAAGCGGAAAGTGAATGCGTCAAGCATAAACCAAGCTTCAGGGATCTGGTCAGGATGCCTCCTGGATGCCTCCCTGGTGAGGCTTTCCAGGCACGTCCAACATGGAGGAGGCCCAAAGGAAGACCCAGGACACGCTGAAGGGTCTATGTCTCTCAGCTGGCCAGAGAACGCCTCGGGATTCCCCCAAAGGAGCTGGCCCAAGTAGTTAGAGAGAGGGAAGTCTGGGCCTCCCTGCTTAGGCTACTGCCCCCACGACCCGACCCCGGATCGGCACCCGGAAATGGATGTAATTCCATTGTTTATTTTTGTGTCTGCTTTGTAATGTTTGGGCTGCTCTTGCTCCTGCAAAGCATACCGGGTTGCCTCTGCGTAGGAAATGTGCTAAACAAATAAAGCTGTCTTATCTTTAAAATGTATCAGTTACTTTAAACCTTCCGACTTATTTACGCTTTGACTCTTATTTTTTTCCTAAAAATCAGTTTTGAGCTGCATCTAATCGCAACATTCAAAGCTGCAGAAGAGACCAAGTAGTTCTAGTCTTTGCCTTGTTTCCTGCATAGATAAAAAAACTCTCTACCACAGGTAAACGGACAAAAACGAAAAGAGTTTGTTGCAGCAGCTATTAGTGTTTGATATTGGAATATTTACTGTTGTGTGTTGATGAGGCAGCCATATTGCATTTTGAGGACAAGGTCATTTGTTCCACGTCTGTATTTGACTTTTGGTGTTTTCCTTTATATCTTTCTCAACTTGTGACTCAAAAACTCTTCTGAATAGTAATGGGACAACCCATTAGGCAACTGGTTCCTTAACATTTGGTACCAGAAGATAACAGAAATGTAACCTCAAATATAAACAACTACTAGAATGCTAATGGTTTCAACTCATTCTGCAGTAAAAGTCTCGTTTTCAGCTTTGATATGAATTAAAAAGAAAATATTCTGTGAGTTTTAAATTGTATTTGATTGGAAATCCTTCTAACTTAGTTCCATGCCTCACAACAAGGTCTTAATTGGGAACGACTGTTTCACATCGCCATTTTATGCAATTATTTGCTTGTATTCATCCTAACTACTAGCATGTTACAGTGTTTTACGTGGTATTTTTTAGCATGTTATTTAACATGCAGCTAGAGTTCTGATGAGAATTAAAAAGAGAGATCATATCTCTCCTGTCTTAGCTTGCCTACATTGGCTACCTGTTAAATTCAGAATAGATTTTAAGATCCTTCTTCTCACATATAAAGCTCTTAATAATCAAGCTCCATCATACATCAGTAATCTGATTGTTCCATACGTTCCTAACCGAGCACTTCGCTCTCAGACTGCAGGTCTACTGGTGGTTCCAAGAATATCTAAAATTAGGATGGGAGGCAGATCTTTTAGTTATCAGGCTCCTCTCCTGTGGAACCAGCTCCCAGCTTTAGTCCGTGAGGTAGACACTTTGTCTACTTTTAAGAATAGGCTTAAAACATTTTTATTTGATAGGGCCTATAGTTAAAATCTGATGTTAGCCTAAATCTGGACAAGTGGGGGATTACAGGGAGGTGGAGTGTACAGTCGGTAAAGACGGCTCTCCCTTGCCCTGCCTCCAACATGCCTACATCTAAATAGGATAGATTATCCAGAGTTATCTCTGTAGTTATGCTGCTATAGGCTTAGACTGCTGGAGGACACACTGACCACTTTTCACACTCTACTGCTTTCTTCTACAATCTGCTCTTTAACTGTATTATTTTGTACAATTTCAGCTGTTAACTTTATTTTCTCTCTAAGTGTTTTTCTCCCCAGAAGATGCTACAATGACGTTCTGCTGAGCTGTGGTGGCCTCATGGAGGGGGCCATCGACTAGCACACTGCTGCTAACCACTAATACATTCTCTCTCTCCTGATAATAACTTTTTGTTTTCATTTACTTTTGATGTGCTACTACTAGTTTATCCGTTTAATTATAGATCCACTAGGATAAATACAACAAAGTTTATCTCTCACCAAATACAATATTTAATAAGACATCACAATTTAACTATAGACACATTACTTGTCTTTGTGTGTGTGTGTGTGTGTGTGCATGTGCGAGTGTGTGCCTGCTCTATCTTCTCGATCCCCAGTGAGTCGTGGAGGATGGCTGCTTATACTGAGCCAGGATTCTCTGGAAGTTTCTTCCTGTTAAAAGGGAGTTTTCCTCTCCACTATCGCTGCATGCTTGCTTAGTATGAGGATTGCTGTATAGTCACTGACACTAGTCAGTGACTTGATGCAATTTGCTGGGTTCCTTATATAGGAAACATTATTTATGAATGGCTTAATGAACTGTGAATTGGAATGTTTATTATGTGAAGTGCCTTGAGACGACTCTTGTCGTGATTTGGCGCTTTATAAATAAACTTGAATTGAATACTGAGTGAAAGGATGCAGTGATGCTAGCTTTAGCCAAACATTAGCAGATCTTTTCCTGAGCAAAAGTACAAATCCCAAATAGCACCCTTCAGGCACTTAGTGAACTCTCTGTATGCACCGCCAGTTGTTGTGCATTGTGTGTGAGAAAGTGTGTGTTTGTGCTGGGTTTCCATGGTGATACTGCCTCCCGGGGTGAGCTGGCTGCTGCATCTAAATGGGCGGATTGTATTTTGGTCCATATTTACTGTACTAACACGCTCAGCAGGCCTTTGTGCCACTGCCATGAGGCACATGCATATCTCCATGGAGACAGCTGAGGGAGAAAATGAAAATAGTCTGGATCCCAAAGTGGAAAGCACTTTTGTGTACAGACCTTTAAACCTCATCTTCAGCCATAATCAACACTCTATATAGAAGCTATTGACTATACAGATAGCAAAGGCATCAACTAAATGACGTGAGATTTTCTATGTAACTACTGTCTGAAGCTTTCAGTAGGAGAGATGCTATTTCAGACTGGAGGGCAGAGTGATCTCTCCCACCCCCAACATCCACCCACGCCTTCTCCCTTTAACCAACCTCTCTGCAGCAGGCAGTGTTTGCGAGGAGCCAGACCGCCTCTTTGTGAAGACGTTTTCCTTGGTGACCAGTCGGACCTGGCCTCCCTCCTTCCGGGCCTTGCTCAGGGAGGCCTGAGCCACCTCGTCTCTACCCAGGTACCTGTGAAACAGAATAAATTGGGCTGTGAGGGAATTCAGGATCTGCAGACGTTACATAATCAGGGATCTTGATAATGAGGGCTCATTCACTTGTGGAGCACTGGGATGTTGTTGCAGCGTCTCAGGACAGCAATAGCACCATGTACGTATGATAGGGCATCTGAGGTTGCTCGAGCACATCAGTAATCTTAGTCATTTTTTTCCTCCTGGACGGCAGTAATCCTAGGATTTAACCACATCAATGTACGATTCGCCAACTCCCGCAGAGGTGGCGAAATTCTACAAATTGCCTCTGTGGCACCAAACTGCGCTTAAATGCTCAAATTCCTCCTCCCATTTCTAATTTCCCATTTTAACTGTGCACTTATATTCTGTTTGTCTTCATCCCCACTAAATCCCATTACTATTGCTGCTGCGGAAATCTAATTTCCCCATAGGGATCGTCAATCATCTAATCTAATCCATCTGCCCTGCCACTGGGGTTTTTTATGGCCCTTTGTAATACAGATGCAAGGCATGAAAGTCCAAATTGCACACCTCTATACAAGCCGATCTGGCAGAATTAAAATGACCTCAAGATGTCAGAGTTGACACAAAATACAGGAGCAAAACAAATAATTATATATATATATTTTAAAGGCACAGAGATTTTTGTTCTAGACGAGAGAAAATTGTAGTGGTCTTAAGAGAAAAGTGACCAATCAAAAATATCCAGAACAACCATTAGGGGTCTCCAAAGAGGGATGGTACAACACTCGAATGGTCTCCACAGAGCAATTGTCCTCCCTCTTCTCTATGAGCCCTGCAGAAACTCTGTGTCGGGCTATTATTTCACCCAGCAAGTACAAACAGTGACAAAATACCCTTTTGTTTCACTGCCAACATCCTACAACTGGTTTGTCAAAGCTTCCATTTGGCAACCAAACATCATCCCAACAGTTGAGACTCGAGAACAATATGTGATTACCTCAAGAGTCATTGTTTCATTAACCTAATCTGAAAAGGTTTGATGGCAGCGATTCTCAACTAGGATTGAAATTAGCTTCTAATCTTGTCTGTTTGGACTTTTTGGTATTGTGTTTAATGAACAAGTTTCAGTTTTACCAACTAGATGGTCAGAATGTGTTCAGCTATGATCCTGGATGCACCAATTAAATGTGTCTAGAAGGGTCCATTAGAGGCACTTTCAACTCAGCTACCACACGTGTATTCAGTATCTACAACAGCATAAACCCCCCATAAAACTCAGGAAGGAGACGACCACAGCAAAGGATGAAATGGTATCATTGGGGCTCTTATTGTGAAAGGTTTTAATGGAAGTTATGGCTCAGGTTGGTGCTGTGAGCATCATAAAGATGGCAGTGGGACATATTAAATCAAACTATCTTGAATTTTAGCAGTTCAATCACATATTAACTAATTATCTCCAGTTGCAAATGCAAACTATAAAATCTAATGTATTTAGTAATTATGAAAAGGAGAATTATAATGTCAAAGATTAGACGTGAAAATATTAGAAAGTGACTGAGGTTACACTGTGTTTGTTTGGCGGATAATTTTATTTCGTAAAAAGGGGCAGAAATCATAAGATTTTTTCTTCTATCTGCTCCTTTTCATTCAAATGTTTTTTTTTTCAATATGTTAATGTATGTTGTATTTGTTTGTGTTTATTTTATACATTGTGAATGAAATAAAAGATAAAAAAAAACAGAATTTGATTATCACAGTTAAACTAATAAAACACCTAATTGGTGGGACAACCATGAGCTAAAACGTTAGCCAGTGACTTGTTAGATCAGTGTTTCTTTCTTTGAGTTTCTGTCCCTTTGAAACAAGGAAAACTGTGATTTGGCCTCTCTGGAGGCTTAAAAACCTCCAGTTCTCTCTTACTGCTGCTTTCTTGCGTCGGCTGGGTTAGGGTCAAAATCGTACTCTTAAATGTCCCAGTCACATTTGGGATGTCCCGATACAATTTGTTCACTTCCGACACAATACCAATTTTGCAGCCTTCGGTATTGACCGATATCAATCTGATACGATATCAGCACAAATCATACATACTTTTACCTGTTTCGTAGTGTGGAATGCATGAATGGCTTGATCAAGTGATTTTACTCATTCAAAGAACAAAAGACAACCATTGATTGCAAAAATGGGAACCTTAATGGACTGCTTATATCAGAGATTTTTGATGCTGTTCGATATATCCAATATCGAATGACTTCAGATATCGGAACTGGACATCCCTAAGTCACATAATGCTATTCTAACACTAAATGAATAATAAAATGGCATAACCAACCACTATAAGCAGTAACTATTTAATCCCTAACCGATATAAAGATAATATAAATCTACACTTGGGGTCGGGTCCTGACATGTACAGTATGCTGCCGGGAAGAAGGCGGAACATATGGCAGTGCCTGGCCCGGGCTCAGGGGCCTCAGGTAGACCTTGGCTCCTCTGCTGTTCCATCACGGGGGAGGGGGATGTCCAGGAGGGGGAGGACCCGACCTTACCGGGATGTCCTATGTCGTATATTCTGGAAGTTGTGCAAATGCAGGAATGGGAGTAGATATTCTGCTGGGGTGGGGCTGGGTTGGTGCCCTCAGACTCCGTGGGGCTCTGTGATGCTGCTGTTTTGGGCCCTGGCAGGATGGGCTGGAGTCTCCATGCCCTGGGTGGCATTTTGGCAACAGAGGTGCCTATTGGGGCCAGTGGGGGAGCTGGCTCCCTGGAGGGCTTAGGCCAAGCAGCCATTGCTCTCCATCCCCGCATAATTTTCTCCTCCTGCTCCCTCACATCATCACGCAAACATGCATATAGGACCTTGGGGGGTGGACAAGTCAGGGGGTGCAGGTATGGACCCCATTTCCGCATTCCTGTGGCAACCTGCCCCCAATTGTATTTGCACCTTAAACACTTCCAACAATGACATTCCACACAAACACACACTTAGGGCCTTGGGAGTGAGCACATTCAACGGCATTTGCCAAGGGGATTTTTCAGTCTCGTCCCGAGTGCCGGTGCCCACTTCCAATTTTAAACTGCACTTAAACACTGAGGGCTGTGGGTGGTAAATGAGGTGGTGTGGTGGCATCAGCTGGTGTAGGCCAGACAATGCCTGCACTGCATGCTCACCACAGCCATGGAATACACCTCATCAACACGCAGCAACACTGTATTGGAGCAGGCGGAGGGAGACTAGGGGTCTTAGCACACCTCTGTTGTCGCTTGGCTTCCCGGGGCTGGAGGCTAGGAGGGGGATCTGGCTGTCTGGTTGGGGTCTGGGGTGGTGGGTTGCTTTGCTCAGCATTGGGTGGGGAAGTCTGCTCATCAGCACCCCAGCAGAAAGGGTCGAACTCTGGGAACCAATGATGGTTGTACTTTTTTGTGCAGCAGTACCGGGACCAGAGTGTATGGGGAGCATGAGTGGGTGTCCGGCGTGCATTTTTTTGTAAGTCTTATGTTGTATGTGTATGTGTGAGCATGAAGGAGGGAGTGTGTGACTGTGTATGTCAGGTGGGGCTTTTGACTCCTCCCCTCTCCTGGGATTTCTTTAGATGCTATACATCTTCGCCTCCCCTCCCCCGCCACACTTAGTGTGGAGTGTGGCGCCTTGGTCTGCCTGACTGTTCGCGGCTCCCGGGTCAGGGGGTTCAAGATTTTTGGAGTCTGCCTGATCGATCTCGGTGGCTACATGGTGGGGTCTGGGTCCCTGGGCTCTGCAGGGTTCCCAGTGGGGCTGGTCGCACCTGGGTCCTGGGTCGCTGGGTTCCGGGCTCGGCCGGCTGGAGGGTGGGAGGCTGCGGGCGGGCCTGTGGGCGGGCCTGTGGGCGGGCCTGTGGGCTTGCTGCTAATATCTCCCAGGACTCTGCCGGCTGCTGGTTGTGGCCCCCCCGGGGCGATCCTCTGCGCCTCTCGAGGGGGGCAGGGGCTTTTCTGGTTGCAGTCTCCCTGGGGTCCCTGCGCTCTGGGGCAGCTCCTGGATCTCTGAGACTTGGAGCTCCTTCCATCTCCTACACATGTTTGGGGGCAGGTCTGTGGCCCCTCACACTCTATTGGACGCTCCTATAGAGAAACCTTACATAAACAAGTGTGTGTACACACACAGGTGCTCACATGGTGCTCTCCTAAGTATGGACTTGGGCATGTTCAACACATGTCTTAAGGGTGTGGTTGACACTTAATGCACAGTGATTTATTATCATGTGATTGTTCAGTAAAACAATGTTGATTTTATATTTTCTCATCAAGTTGACCCAGTGATAGTTTGCTCCTGTTGTATTGTTGTGTGTCCCTTTTCCGCAGGTCTAGAAGCAGATCCCTGTTCATCACTGATTGTTTATTTTTGTGGAACCCCCCTCCTTTTGTCTCTTTCTTTCTCTTTCACCTCTGTCTCTGTGTCTGGTCGGAATTACAAAGCATTCAAAAAAACAATAACAATAAAGTTTTAAGTATCAGGCGTGACATTAAAAGCGGAAGCTTTGATGCTCCACCTGAGAGTAAATCTGTAAGGCTTGTTACCAGCAATCAGAAATTAAATCTGTTTGCTTCACAGCCAGACAGGACATGGGAAAAAAATAAATACATAGAAAAAAATTATATATATATATATATATATATATAAATCTACTAATAAATAAATACACTGTCGTTCTGAAACACATTACCGTTCCAGGCTAACAGACTTCATACCATCGCTAATTTATATAATGAATTAGCTTTCACCCCCACTGCTCTGCTGACTCTTGACAATCGTTGCTACCAGATGCAGTTAAAACCTAGCTTGAAAAAATAACTAAGAAATAATAAGAAGCTAGCCAAGCTGTAACTGAAGTGGCTAACATTAGCTCATGGCTTTTCTGTCACATAAATTAAAGGGAGTTTCTGTCAGACTTTTTATTCACTAGTTTTTCCAAAATTTCACATTCTTAGCTATTTCATGTAAAGACAAACCAAAAGTAAACGATAAAAACCAGATTTCACTCATGGACACAG